AACCTAATTTTCTACTGATTCTTGATAAACAATAGAGAGATAAATTAATTTAACCACAATTAYATCACCAAATATACAAAGGTAGTAATAAAATAGACTGACAGACTTGCTCGATCAGAATCATTTTTCGTATACTTACAAAGATTTTAAATCCTTAAAATATTGAATTCAATGCAGAGTGTTGACCAACTATCCACATCTTTTTAAATTAAAATGTRTATATTAAATAGTATATCTATTGGAAACAAATTAAATTTAACATTAAAAGTTAATCAAGCATCAAATTCGTGTTTTTTACAATAGTTCGTTCACTACGTTCGTATTTTCAGGCATTAATATTTTACATACTTATGACTCACATGAAAATTGAAAATTATAATATCGTAAAATACTAGTTCTTAACTAAAAGTTATAGTTAAATTCACTCTAATTCCAAAACTAATAGCATAATATTGAAACTGATGAACAAAAATGTTTCATTTCGTATTAAGACAGCAAATGCGGATTTGATGTCCACTCAGCCTTAAGTTATTATACTTACAAATCATTAGGGTGCAACAATTTTAATTTAATTTAAACTTACAAATGTCATAAACATGCAGACAATTTTATTTTGAATTTAAACTAATTTTATGTTATATTTTTCCAATAACGTAACTTAAAAAAAAAATACATTTTTTGTTGAATTGGTATTAAAATTATAAATTTCTGCTTCGATGAATAAGGCCATTAGTATTAGATTTGTATGTTCATTTACATTTTAGAAATAACTTTTTTAATTAAAAATTAAGGGAAGAATACAAATAAAAGAATAATGTAATTAAAAATAACTAAATAAATAACTAAATATTAATTATTTATAAATTACCAATAGGTAAAATAAATACTAAATGTATTTAGTTTGGTGTAAGAAAACTTAGAAAACAGATATAGAACGAAGTAGATATATTTTTTAGTATTTTTCAACAAGTTTGCCAATCTATTTAAATATTTTAACATTTTTTTCTTGGCTTCAATCCAATTTTTGTATCGAAAAATACATCGTTCCAATGAGTTGACAATGAAAAAATTGGTTCAAGTATTACTGAGAACATGTTATTTATACAAAAAAAACACCAAAAAAATAGTTATTTTTCGAGGTAAACGTGCTAAATTATAAGTTTTCATCATAAGATAATATCTATTGTGTATTTGACAATATAATATGTATACTATTATACATTATTTTACAGGATACAATAAAGAAAAAAATATATAAACAAATGGTACCTATGTATTTTTGTTATTTGATTATTATCCTTACAAAACCAAAATATATAATGACTAAATATACAGGGTGTCCCGCGTGGATTTACCCATTGCGATATCTCACGAAATAATGGAGATATCAAAATTCTGGTTTTATAATAAGATTCACAGGGTTAAGAACTACAATTATTTCATTTTTAAATTTATTTTAAAGTTTTTGTAAAAAATTAAAAAAATGTAATTTTTTATTTAATTATTTC